AACGCACTCTAAATGCGCAGAGATGGTCCTCCACCTTTACAAGTTAAACTGCAATAACCAAAAACATGTTGACATTTAAAACATTTGGGGAGGTATGTGAGATTTTAATGCAGACCATCCCACCAAGTAGGCAGAAAAAACAAGTTATATTCTGGCTACCGACAAAACAAGCTAAGAACCATTTATGAAATTTTTAATTGCTTTTGAAGGGTTAGAAAATCAAGACTTCACAATGGTTATTTCAGTAGCATGAAAAACAAAATGAATATTATTATAAATTATACAAAGAAAGCAAGCAAAGGACAGTAAAGTGGTGCATGACTTCAGTCTAATGTGAGCTATGCACTTTTGCAAAAACTCCCATAATCACTGAAGCAAATCAATCACATTTATTTTGCACTTTGTTGTTTATGATTATGACAGAATTTGAGAATGCACATTCAGAATTCAGTCAGTAAGCGCGCACACTTGAACAACTCCGGCGTTCTCCGCGGTGATGAGTCAAAACGCCTCTGATTGGACATTGCATTCATAAACACAACAGAAAGTTGTTTATTGAACTGCTGTAAAAAAATCTATAATCGTGCTGATTTTTGTCACTCTTCATGTGATATTGATTAATATATGAAATTATAGAAATATATACATTTTCTGTCCCTATCTTCAATTTCGTGAGCATTCTAAATGCATTTTAATAGACTGAATCACGCAGTGAAAGAACGCACTCTAAATGCGCAGAGATGGTCCTCACTGCAGAACACAAGATCCAGGGGGCGTGGTTGGATCCAGATCCAACTCCTCCCACCTTACATATACCTAAACCTACCTGTCTCCACCCCCTGATCCCTAAGCCCACCCATCTCCACTCCTAAACCTACCAATCTCCACCCCTTAGATGTGGATCCAACCACGCCCCCTGGATCTTGTGTTCTGCAGTGAGGGGCTACTGTGTTTTTCACCTACTCGATACTAGGGAAGTATGTGATATAGATATAGCCATCATGTGCAGAAAAGTCTACCAGAGAGGAGGAACTATAGTAATACTCTCTTGCATTATGGGAAGTACAAAATAGCAGAAGTGAAAATTAAAACGGCATGGGACAGAATTGACTGGCACTTTGAATAATGAATACTTAAATGCACTTTCTATCAATATTATAGCCTAAGACCGCACTAATCCTAAGCCTACCAATCTCCACCCCTTAGATGTGGATCCAACCACGCCCCCTGGATCTTGTGTTCTGCAGTGAGGGGCTACTGAATACACACGCGCACTAGTCTAAATCTACTAGACTTCACAGCACTCTTTGGGTATTTTTTATTTTTATTTTTTGCAAAATACTCGATAATGTCAGATATCGCACATTGTTAAAACAGCAATTACGGTATTATCGCAGACGAGTCCTGCACCACTGTCTTTTTGGCTAATTTGTGCAAAACCTCTTGCTAAACTGTCAAAGCTTCATTTTAATCACCAATGCAACAATGCAAGTATTTACCTTACCTCTACATGTTTGCGAAGGTTTGATGTCTAGATTTTATAAGCTGCTAGTTTGGTCTCCCTAGGGCCTAGGCAAACACAGCTTACACTGCATAATAGAGCTTAAATATGGCCAGGGGTTCACTTCATTCTCTTCAAGTTCATTTTCAGCTGGGTCTGCACCACTAACTTCTTGTTCGTCTCCATCTTTCTTGTGATTTTAGCGCTAGTTTCTTCTCCTGCCCATTATTTACTGCAGTAGTTTCAATGTAATTATTTACTTTCCACCTCTGTGTTTCTCTAAATCCTTTATGAAGCATTACAAAACACTTTTGCAACAGTAACACTACTCATCCTTCTCTATAGTAAAACCCAGAGTCAGATTCATGAATAAGACCCTCTCAGACTCTCAAGGGCTTCAGATCAGCTGTCTGGCCACTGGTTTTTACCCCCGCCACATTAACCTGACCCTGTTCAGAGATGGTCAGCCTGTGGATGATGATCAGATCACAGGAGGAGAGATTCTGCCCAACGGAGACAGAACGTACCAGATGAGGAAGAGTTTGGTGATCAGTGAAGAAGAACTATGTGAGGAACATAAATACAACTGCACAATGAAGCACCTCAATTTGGAAAACAAACTGGACATCACATATGGTAAAGAAAAAAAAACAATTGAATAACAAAACAAAAAAAATCTTCATATCTCTGTAACGTACTGTTATCACTTTTTTTAACTCACCATTTTCAGATGTGGCTGAATGTGACCCAGGATCTTTCAGTCATTCAATAGTTTTCAGTGTGCTGGTGTTCATGTGTGTAGCTGTTCTCATAATAATTGCAGTCATCATATGGAGGAAGAGACGAGCTGCTGGTAAATGTTCTGTTCAGTCCAGTCCTAATGCTCAATTAGATGAAAATTCATTGCATGCAGTTTTGTTTCTGTAGTGTTGCTTTGTATCTATCATGGTTTTACTATCTTATTTTTATTCAGGACAGGGAACTGGGACATCACAGAGTAAATACTCCCCTACTCCATGTGAGTAAATTGTTTTGTAAAGTAATATGAATTCAACAACATGTTCTTTTTATGGTTAATTTTGTGAACTTTCTAGAAATGACAACCAAAGTATTTTTTCTTCATTTCAGCTTCGATGCGCGATAAAACATGAAAAGTTAAAAGTGCTTGTTGGATGCTATTTTTGTGCTATGATGGCCTTCAAATGACATAAAAAAAATACAAAGACAAAGGAACATATGTAGGTAAATGTATGCAGTATGCAACATAAAACTTGGCATATGTGGCCTGAAATCATAATAGGGCCTTTCACACTGCAGGAACCTTTTCATAGTACCAGAACTAATTGTGGAACTACCCACTTTTCGGCGTGTTCACACCGCCGGAACTGGGAGCGATTTTAGTACCGGACTGCCTTTTTCGAGAACCAAATTAGCTCCTACTCCGGAGCAGGGTCTAACCAACACAACTGGTACTAATCGAGACACAAGTAGACATTGATTGGCCAAACGCGTATGAAAACGCCCTCACCCGCCATGGTTTAAAACTCTGTGTAAACATACTGTAAGCATGTCAATTTATTTCGCAAGTATGGAGGACAGCGATAGATGGACGGACGCTGAAGTGAAGGCACTTGTAGCAAATGTAGCACTGCCAGTTGTCGTTGGAGATTCTTAGTCCTCCTTCCCGTTCTTTCAATCGCTTTACGTATACGTCGACTTTCCATGTCCATTATTGTGAAACCCGCGAGACACAACAAAACACAGCTCCGATCACAGCGTCCTCCATCCTCCTGTTGTTAATGTTGTTCTTCTTTGTTTCTGTTGTTGAACGCCGCGCACAAATGACGTCGCTGTCGACCGGCTTACATCACTTCTTAGTACACACGGTGCGAAAGGGCCTATTAATATTGTTTAGGAACTATTGTATTATAGGAACTATTGGAATTATTGTATTTCTGTGGGATTTCTGGGCAGTTGTGGCCTAATGGTTAGAGAGTTGGACTTGGACTAATCCAAAGGTTGAAGGTTAGAGTCTCAGTACCGGCAGGAAAGGTGGGGGACTGATTGTACAGCACTCTCCTCAGTGCTCTTCAGTGCTTTTCATATCCACAACTGAGCAAGGCACCTAAACCGCAATTGCACACCGGGCCCTGCAGCACTGCTCTGGCTGTGTGTTTAAAACTCTTTGTGTGTCCACTTGGATGGGTGAAATGCAGAGCATAAATTCCAAGTATGGGAAAGTCACGTCACTTTAACTTTCTGTCATGGCAACTCTAGTTTGGTTTGTGCTGCAACTGCTAGCAAACCCTAAATGTCAAGCAGCAAGCTCATTGGCATATGATGCTATAGAAACCAATCAGCTGCGCCATGTAGAAAACTATGTGATTGCTATCAGTTATACAGTATGTACTATGTAACCAGTCTGTGCCATATTGAGTTTCAAGACAAAACTTTGTATTTCTGTTGAGAGTTTGGCATGGTAACAGATTTTACAATGTTAATGTATTTGGTCTTGGCAGAACAGATCTGCTATGCTGCTGCTGCTACTGCAGAGCAAGGAGAGAGATACTGCCAATACGTACATGGACACACTGCTGTGTGCATTTAACATGCTGCTGTTAACTTGTTCCCCTGCGTCATGATCTCCGCTCCAAGTTTGTATGTTTGTTGTATTATTGTGTAGTTGTCCCGCAAAAGTATCTGAGTTCTGAGAGTTGCAGATGGATGAGTTCTGTAGACATATTCCTGGTGTCCTGGTTATTCTTTGACATATGTTTCATTTCATTCCTTTCCATTCTGTTTACTTGTTTTTCCTGCTGTGTAAAATCTGCTTGTGTAATATGGTTATTGCCTTTAACAAATACAATTATGGAAGAGTACCAAAACAGAACATGTATCTTTTCTATTTTCAGAAAATAGATCTACTAACAAATTATTCATATTTTGGTAGTTCTTTAAGGTACATTAACATTAGCTCATGTAGTATATCAAGAATGAGCAATTATAGAATTAGAATTATTACTTTTACAGCACTTACAGCTCATTTACTACACATGGTCAATGTAATTTCTATATACAGTATGCTAAAAGTTTTACAATTTGTATTTTGAACGTGAATGAACATGAAATAAAAAATGAAAATAATTATTATTAAATGCTGTAAAAATGTTGTTTATTGTTAGTTGATGATACTTAATGCATTAACTAATGTTAACAATTAAAACTTACTGTAAAGTGTAAGAAACAGGAAAAGCCACCTGTTTGATAAAAACAATAAATGTTTTGTATGAGGATACTGAACAGTTATCCCATTCTCTGATTCTTCCCTTATATGTTTAATGCAGCATATGTGAATCTGACTTTGACTGTCTCTGCTTGATTTGGTTTCTGTCATGTGACCTTTTCCTATAAACAGAGTTGATGCCAGGCTGGCTCTGAATTCAGAATGGGTTGCAAGTGTTTGTTGGCTCCTTGTAAGAATTTGACAGGTTTGCACTGGTTCCCCCGGGATGCTGACAGAGCTGGATTGTGGCTGAAGGCGGTGGGTTGGCCATCAGCTCCTGACACATCAAGAATGTTTGTATGTAACAAACTTTTTTCCCGGGAGAGCTTTTACAGACATGTGGACGTTGGCATTGCTCATCTCCGACGAGAAGACGCTGAACGAAGTCCCAAATATCTTTCCATCCCTGCAGGGCAGCCAGTAAGTGTCTTAATAACCATGATCTTGTCTATCTTGCTGTCCTTTGTTATTTAATAATGAATAAAATAAACAGTTATTATTAACAATGACATGATCAAAGACCTGTTCGGATAAACAAGGTGTTTTTTTTTCTTTCAGTTTCACTTGAGCTGCTGGCTGGAAATACTGGAGTTTTGCCCAGTGACCGCAGCTGAAGGAGGAAGTCTAAATATGGTCACTGGTGAGATGAATTTATCATGACATCACAAAACAAGCAGCAGCCACGCTTCCGGGTTCTTCACACAGTCAGATTAGAAATGGCTATTCAGAGCAAATGCAATTATAATCAAAGTTATAGTAATGTTAAGCCTATAATTGTAACTATTTTTGTTAAATAAAGGTTATTAGAACATGATACCTATGTTTTATAGCGAGGAAATGCACATTGTTTTTGAACTCCAAAAAAAAAACTTTATTCAACAATTATATTTTGCTGGAAATGTAGCAGGTTGTTCATTAATTCTGGTGACATTAATATTTCAAATACAATTTATTGTGAATTTATTAATGTTTAAATTTTTTTTTTAAATGGCTATATCTTAAAATGTGCCTTGTACATCAAGAAATAATCTTGTTGTGTTCAGAATTTTCATTACAATCAGCTGACATATCTTGATGAGGCCTTAATAAAGCTTTTCTTGTTTATCATATCATATCATATTTTAACATATATTTCTAAATGAACTTTAATATGATGTTATACACAATCTTTTTCAACATTTGAATTTGAAAGACCTACCAACAGAATGAGTTGCTAGCACAAGCTGAAAATACCAGTCATCTGGTTTAACTACACTACTGCTAATGCATGCCTTTGTTCTCTTTACTATTGCAACCTATTTTATGCTTTCTTGTACTGAGAAGCAACAGGAGTTCCTTGATTTTGAATGTATTGTGTTCCTTCTTTATGTTTCAGGCTAAAAGTGTAGCTTGGCTGGTGTTTTCTCATGTTTATATCTTAATTGTTAACATCAATTAATCAAATCTTTTTGGAAAGCCTGTATAACAAATAAGCATATTTTCAATAAAACAGACTTACAGATATTTAACTTAGTGGGGTTTTGTTTAGGGGTGGGCTTAGATAGGAACCTTCTATACAGGGGCAGTCGTGGCCTAATGGATAGAGAGTCGGACTTGTAACCCGAAGGTTGCGGGGGTCGAGTCTCAGGTCTGGCAGGGATTGTACTGTAGGTGGGGGGAGTGAATGTACAGCACTCTCTTCCACCTTTAATACCATCTTGAGCAAGGCACCGAACCCCCAACTGTTACCTGGGAGCCGCAGCAATATGGCTGCCCACTGCTCCGGGTGTGTGTGTTCACGGTGTGTGTGTGTGTGTGTGTGTGTTCACTACTGTGTGTGTGCACTTGGATGGATTAAATGCAGAGCACAAATTCTGAGTGTGGGTCACCATACTTGGCCACACATCCCTTCTTCTGTAAAACCCATTTAGAGATATAGTCCCTCCCATTTGGAGCAGCCCCAAGAAAGACCCATGTAGGTTAAGAAAGTTTTAATATATTGTTGTGTCAGTTTGTTTTTTGACCACTAGATGGTACTGCTTAAAACATAAGCAACATGAAATATAAAGGGTTGCATTTAACCACATATCTCAATGCATCAGATCTTTTGTAATAATAAAAATATCATGAATGTTGCGAAAATTGTAAAAATGTAATTAAAGTACACAAAATATTTCAATTAATATCTAATCTGGCATTTACATAGTTTTATAAAAAAATGTACCTATGCCCACAACCAGTCCAGAAATGATTTTATTGAGCCTAAAATTTGTTTGCATTGCAGATTCATGATGTGAGACAAAAATGATGCTGCGTATTTGTGTGTTAGAGCAAAGAGTAGGCTTACTGTGTATAATCATAATGCTTTACTATAGGCCTAATTATTATATATACCCAACTATCCATAGTTATATTTATTATACTGTATATGTTATTTGTTTAACATATGTTACATCCAAATTCCCTTGCATAATTTCTATTGCACATCTGTACATACAATATATTTTCTGTTGTCTTTTTGTCTATTGTGTATTGTTTTCACATTTTAATCACTTTTATTTTGTTATCTATCTTGTCACTTGTCATCCCATCTGTGCAGTGGATGCTTCTGTCACCCAGACAAATTCCCTGTGTGTGTGAGCACACTTAGCAATTAAGCTCTTTCTGATTCAGATTATTAGTGTGCATAATCTGTTTTTCCATGCCAGCTGGATTCAGCCGGATACTTTTGCCAGTGCTCTGGGGTGCGTTTCCCAAAAGCAACTATGGTCACAAGTTCCATCATTGCCAATAGAGGTTAATGGAACGAACAACCATAGATAGCTAACAATGATTTTGGGAAATACACCCCTGAAGTGATGGTTAAAATGGCTAAACTATGTAGGCCTATAGCTTTATTAAGCAAAAATGCAACCTTTCAGAATTAATAAACAGATTTAGCACAGCGTGCTAACTTTCAAGTGCTGATTGCTGAACAAATAAACCCCCTTAACCTATAATTCTACACCAAATACTTGACCTATAGCGATAACTATATATATATATCAATATTGCTGCTCCCTATACACAGAGTCTGTGTAGAGCACCTAAGTGGGTACCATCTCATTTTCATGGGGACATCAGATGCAGTTTCATCCAAGGAGGCCACCCTTACATTAGTCTTGCGTAGTCAGACCTTCAGAATGACGGCAGAAGTTCTGGGAACCTTGGCCGCTTTGAATGGCCAAGGCCCGCCCAAGAGACCATATGACTGACAGGTAAAGCAACCAATCGCATTTAGTTTTGAGCGATTTTGTTTTGTCATGTTTAGAGGCATGGTAATGTCCCCACAATAGCAGACCAGTGTGTAAAACTCTTGGACATATTTAAAAATTCTGTGCCATGAACTTTAAATATTTCACACACTGACAATTTTTTTTTCATTCATCCAATTAAAAAAATTTAGGGTAATGATTCACATCTATATTTTTTAACTTGAGCCAATGAAAAATAAATAAATTGCCCTTAGAGCAAACATTTTTTTTAATTAAATGAACGAAACATTTTTTTCAGTGCATACTTTTGAAAGTCTGAGGCTGAGACCACCCTTACATAGTCTGCCATGATCACATTAATCCATGATTTTCTTAAGTAATCTGCATTACAAAAATATGAAATTATTAAAGATAAACAGACAAAATTATGATTAAAAATGAACAGCAATGAGATATTGAGCATATCTCACTTTTTTAACCGAGACTGGAAAGACCGGTTAGACCAGCAAAGAATTCCAATCATTAGCTAAAGTCACTTCTTTAATTTGTAGTTGGAAGGCTGTAACACCCAGCAACAAGATCATACCCTAAAGTGCGGGGATTCATTTACTGACAGAATGCAGTGTCTTCTGTGTCTTTTGTCATATTTGACAGCTGTTAAAGCAGGTAAGTCAGTTTACAGCTATTCTTGTGATCATGATCTGCACATGGGCCCCCTGACTATATACTACTCTGGGGCACGAGAGGGGGTATCTTGGGCACTTATTAATTTTCCTATCTCTGGCTAGATTCCATAAACTAATGTGTTCATACTACATGAGTAAATCAAATGAAAGTATCAGTGATATCTTTATTTGATAACTTTGTTTGTTTCAACATGTTTAGTATGTATTTAATCTGAATATAGTCAGTTTATAGACAAAATGCTAAAACAGTGTTATTTTTTATCCATCAAAAAGGGGAACTAAAAAGGGGAACATGTTTTACAGTGTTGTGAAACCTGTTACTAAGACTTATTTGATAAACGTATTATTTCTTACAAAATAATTTAATTATGTATTATGCCACTATACATTCTTTTTTGGGGGGAGCAGATTTGTTTTTGATTCTTTATTTATTTATTTATAGCAAGGGAGACAGACGGAAATCAAACTATTTTTGGAAGGGTAGGTCTATGCCATCATGGGTGACATTTTACATGTACTCCCTCTTTTAATAGTACAGGTATACAGCAGATGCATCAGCCTTGGGCTATAAGTCCAGATACTGCACATAACTTCCTAAATTTGATCACACAGAATGTGTTGGCGGAGTTGAAATCGGAGGCCGTCAAGCCGGACATTTCTGCTCCGGTTAGTGACGCTCGGTGTTTGCATACTCTATCACAGATGAAGTCAATTAAATGCAATATTTCTCAAATATATAGACGTCTCTGAAACGTTTTCATGAGAAATATACTGATTATGTACTGCTTAATACATCGCCATCTGTTCAAGAATAAAGTTCGACGTAAATATACTATTTAAATACTAATAAAAGGGGGAATATATGCTTTCATCAGTGTTTTATGATAAACGTGACTCAATATAACATTGCGACTACAGTAAAAAAGCTTTTACTGTTCTTAAAACACAGATTTGTGGCTATTGTTGGAATTGAAAAGGTAGAACAAACCCGAAACACACGTGATAGTTGTCATGCGGAGAATCTGGCTAATCGAGAAACGTCTGTGTCGTCATCAAGGCTCCTGCAGCCGCTCTGGAGAAACTGCGCCGGCTGAGTCAAGTAGATATAACTGCAGACCGGAGATCTCCAAAATGGGGCGTGAACTCCAAAAGTGGGCAGAACCTCCAAAATGGGGCGGGGTCTCCTCGCCACAAAGACTTTCACCATTGGCTGTGGCTCCAGCCAATTGTTATTGACTTGCATTTCAAAATAAAACTTTATAAATTGAACATTGTTTTCTAGTTAATCTAAAATAAAATATGCTATATAAATAAATATTCTCCGTGAGAGCAGAGCCCAAAGCTCGTGGCCAGTGTTGTTCAGACTGGAGTTTGAACCTTTGCTTAATGATATAAACGGGAATCACCCTCGAGCTCTCCCGCAAGTCCCAGGGCAGCTCAGGGGAAAGATGGGAGGAAGCCACGCCCTATTTTGGAGCTCCCACCCCGTTTTGGAGTTCCCGCCCCCATTTGGAGATCTCCAGGCTGCAGTTATACCCTTCTCGGCTGAGTCGGCTGCTCTCAGGGAGTGGGAGTAGGGGTGCTGAGGGGGCTACAGCACCCCCTGTTTTCACATGGTTGCAAATGCAACGCCAAGTTTGTTCATGTAAATTTATTCAGTTTTAGCATTTATTAATTTATTTGTAATGATCTCTGAAATGTAAATTGTAAGTGGGCTATAATAAACCCATGTTTATCTTTATAAACATGATTAATTTTACTCGTGATGTTTTCTATATGGGATGATTAGCCTAATCCTCATGAACACGTGACGCTAGCGCGTGGCATCAGACATGAACTATACAGAATGCGAACAAGATTAACTTTAATACAAGGAGACAATGGCTCAAAAGCGAATTTCAGATTCTTTTAAATGCCAATCTCAGCAAAAACCCCAAAACATCCAGGAGGGTGGTAGAGCAGAGGCGGAACACGGGGGAGGGATGGAGGGCCAGGGCCATGCAGGGGAACAGGATCAGAATCGCAGAACAGTGGTGGGCTTGGGCCGTGGAGCAGAGGGCAAGACCATGGGTCATGGTGCAGTGGTGGACCTGGACCATGGGGCAATGGCAGACCTGAGCACTGGAGCCATGGTGGAACAGGGCCATGAAGCAGAGGCAGGTCTAGGCTGTGGAGCAGAGGTGGGCCTGGACCGTGGAGCAATGGCGGACAGTGAAGCACTGGAGGACCTGGGCCATGGATCAGAGGCAGACTGTGGAGCAATGGAGCAGGAGACCACCAGGTCAGATCCAGAGGAGCATGGAGGCATGGCGGAGGCGACAGAGCAGGAAGGCAGGGTGGAGCCGGCAGAGCAGGAAGGCATGGCGGAGCCGGCAAGGCAGGAAGCCATGGCGGAGCAGAGGACCACCAGGTCAGCAGTGCAGACAGGAGCAAAAATCTCCACAGTGGAACAGATGACCACCACAGCAAAGCAGGGATCCACCAAGGCGGATCAGGCGTGACTGGAACAGAGGGCACAGAGAGGTTA